CTTATTTTTGTGACTTTCAAATGGAAGGAGAAGGGCCACTGAGTCCCCATCTGATTCTGTTTACCTTCCCACCTGAGACTTATTCCTCACCTGGGTATGAAGGGCAACTGCTGGATTTCTCTATTTCTAACCACTGATTCTTTGGTTATTGCTAAGAAATCTTAGATTGTTTCACAAGTACATCCTCTTAGAATTATTATAGACATTGTCATTGCAAGAATATATAGCTGTTTTTTCCCTAAAGTCTTTCACAGTAGTTTTAATAAAGAAGCATTACCCTCCATTTAAAATACACAAAATAGGGGACTGGTGAGATGGCTCAGTATTTATGAGCACTGGCCACTCTTGCAGAGGACCCAGGTTCGATCCCCAGTACCTACATGGTATCTAACAACCATCTGTAACTCCAGTTCCAGGGGACTCTGACATCCTCTTCTGACCTCCACGGCCACTGCACGACATGGGTGCTCTTATACACATACAGGCAATATACTCATATACATAAAAATAATAAACAAAATATTCTAAAACATATAAAGTATGATGGTAGAGTGCCCTTACCAAATATATCACAATTATATGACATAAGCAAAAGTAGTCAAATTAATTTAAGGAACTAAACCTCATTTTAAAGACAGCAAAAAACGTTCTGTGATCAGATGTTGTCATTTATGATGATATAACAAGTACATACTATTTAAGGGAAAATGGATATTTATATTCTTTATCACCACAGAATTATGGTTGTAATTGACTCTTGTTTAGCTTGCAACAGCCATGTCATCTACCTTTAGAAAACTTAATCAGTATAAGAAAACTGCTAAAGTGGACCTCACTGATCCATTTGACTAGTACTAAATGTATCAGTTTGTTAATGCTTTTACGTTCTTGTTCCTCAAATCTTATCAAACCATGATGCTGTTATTCCTCATGGCTTCAGGTTTAGGAGTTAAGTTGTGTAAAAGGTGTATTATCAAGATTGCTAGTGCAGATTTATGCCTTCCAGATCTCACTGTGGTATGGCTTTTTTAACAACTATCAGATAGGTATTGTATTTATTAACTGAAGACTCTTCTTTCCCACAGTGGACCATCATATCAAATGAAAGCAAAAATAAGATTAAGATACTCAAATAATGTCTCTGATTTACAGATAAGGTACAAAGAAGTTAATTAAGTCACTTGTGCCATGGATTGGACATCATTCCAGATTTGATTTTCTGATTTAAGCACTACAGAAGACAATCCCTCAATCCTTGTGTTAATACTTCCTTATGATCAGGAATAGGTGGATTATTTATTTTTATTAATTTTTTTATTTGACAATTTCATACATGTACATAATGCATTCTGCTTACTCTCTCCTCCTGACTCTCCGGTAATCTCCCTTCAGTCCCTATCAATCTTGCCTCTTCCCATGACTTTTGTGTTTGTTTTGGGACACACTAAGCCTGAGCCATCTGTGGGACCACTGGATTGAAGCTATTCATGGTGTGGTCACTAGTGGATACACAACTCAGGGAAATAATTCCCCTTTCCCTGAAGCAGTCAGTAGCACAATGTTCAGCAGTGACGTCTAGGGCCCCCTGAGCCCCAGTCACCCCTGCTCGACTGTTGACAGGCCCATGAATAGGTGTTTTTAAGGCAAGCCAAGTGAATCTTAAAGTTTTGTTATAACCCATCAAGTCCATTTTCACTGTGTTGTTCTTTAGAAAATTTAGAAAATACTTCTGTAAAGGCTACACCATGTTTGGGAAGTATGATTGCTAAAATGTATTCAAAATTGACTTCTGAAAATACCGCATCTTATACTTGTTTGATTGCAAAACAACAAAGATTATTGAGCAGTGCCTTCGATTAGTTTGTTTCAGGAAAAAGGGGCAGGCTTTATAGGTAAAACCTTCTATTGTAAACAGGTTCTTGGGATTATCAGCTCTCACAGTTTTTAAGTTACTATTGTTCTTTTTTTCTGCCACAGGGATGTGTTCATGTATTAAATGCATAAATAACTTTTTCTTTTTAAGTATCTGAGTGTGATGGTGGCACACACTTGCAATCTTAGTACTTGGGATGTAGGGGCAGGAGGATCAGAAGTTCCAGGCCAGCCTCAGCAATTTGAGACACTGACTTTAAAAAATCAACAACCCAATATTAGGAAATATGAAAAATAAAGTAGGATTTCCCTGACTCTGCTGTCAAGATGAAAGGGGAGAGATCCTGCTGGAGATCATGTGTCATGATCATGTGTGGCACGGCTCTGACTGGGAGTCTCTTGAGTTTCATATATAATTGTCTTCAGCCAGGGATAATTTTACCTTTTCATTTCTAATTTAGATAGCTTTTATTGCCCTTTTCTTGCACAATTGCTCTGGGTATGATGCTAAGAAATTATTTTGAATAGAAAGGCCTAAATGGGCATCCTTATATCAGTCCTGATCTTAAAAACAACACAATTTCAGATTTACAGTGTCATGTGTAATGTCAGCTGAGGCTTTTCATGTACGGCTGTTATCATGTGGCTGTGACGGTAATTTCCTTTTATTCTTAGTTTGTTGATAGTTTTTAATATTGAAAAGTACAGAATTTTGTTAAATTCATTTTCTTCATCTATTGAGATAATCATGTGACATTCTTTATTTTGTTAAGGGAGTATTTCACATCAATTGATTTTTATATGTTGAACTGTCTTCATCTCAGCAATACATTGCTTAGTGTATGGCTTTAAAAAAATATGTTATTGAGTTTATTTGCTAGCATTTTGTTGAGGAATTATGCATCCTCATTCATCAGGGATATGACTGGTGGTTTTCTTTTTTGTGGTGCCTTTGTTTGGTTTTTGTATCAGAGTAGTAATGCTGGCCTCATAAAATGTGTTTGGAAGTATTCCCTCCTTTTCAATTTTTTGGAACAGTTTGAGAAGAATTGATATTAATTCTTTAAATGTCTAGTTGAATTCGGTAGTGAAGCCATCTGTTCTTGGGCTTTTCATTGTTGGGAGGTTTCTGATTGCTGATTCGTTCTCCACACTCATCTATTCAGGCTCGCTTTGCTTCATCATTCAGTCTTGGAACACGATATTTAAAAGATCATTAGAGTACGTTGCTGGGCTTCACCATGTTTGTTTTTCTCATTGCACTTTTACTTTATTTAATTTTAAAAACAACAGGTAGAATAGAAATACTGTATTATCCTCAGTAAACATTCTCTGAGGTAAGCTTTAAATAATCAATGTAAGATGAATTCATAATTATTAAGGTCATTAGTAACTGAAATGACTGCTCTGTTTCCAAGAAGAGGCATCATTTCAATTGCACATGGGATTTTCAGAGCATTACCAATGGATTCTGGGGAATGATCTAATCCTAGAAAGAATGTTCTTTGTACTCAGTAGCTTGGTGTTCTTTGTTTGGCTTCAGATAATACCTAAACTTTTTGCTTGTTGCTTTCCCATCTGGCACCACTTTTCTGGCATATCCTGTTGGCATTATCTCTACAGACAACTTACTGGAAAGCAGTTAATGATGTTGAGGTTTGGAAAGACTGTTGTGTGACTACCAGGTCATGCTTCAAACCTAGAACAAATGACAATGCTATGAACCCTTTAAAATTTACAATATATTTTTGGTTGGTTGTAAAGTTGTGTGTGTGTGTGTGTGTGTGTGTGTGTGTGTGTGTGTGTTTATTTAATGATGCATGGTATGGAAGTGGTAAGACTATTTTACTTAAAAGTCCAGTCATGTTGATTCTTGGCCAGAGGTTGGACTAGCTGGGAAAATATCAAGAAAAACAACTTTTATCAAAAGGCAAATTAGTTTTTGAAGCTGGTGTTAATTGGCAGCCAAGGTGTTTCATTATGAAGCTGAATTTTTAACAGTTGTTACTTGGTTACTATGAAAACACCAGCCAGAAGAAAACACAGCAGTGTAAAGGATCCGGCGCCCATCTCACCCATCCCTCAGCCAATGCATCAATAATATGCATCCTGTTCTAAAACTCTTGTGTGCTGCCTAGAAACTGTGTCTATGTTGGCTACGTATTCGAATTTATATCTGAATTAGAGGCATATTTCATAATGAATTGTTCAGGGATGATCACTTTCAAACTGTAGGTGTTGTATTTTTCTGTTTTGCCATTTTCTATGTTTGAATGAAACCCCAGACCTTATTGGGAGAAGTATTTTCTCTTTGTTACATACCACATAAAGCAAACCACAGGAAGTATATAAATGGTAGCTACAGAGATTATTCTTTCGGACGAAGGAATGAGAAACATGGTGCTTTGTCTTTTTGTGTGGCTGTACCTACTGCTGACTTTTAAAGAAGTAGAAACACATGAGGGCCATAGGTAGCGATGTCCAGCTGTTTATTCCCCTTCCCTAATAGTAAACAGTATGAAGGTCTCTCTCCACACAACATACCCAAAGCACCTGGGAGTATGAATGCTTTGATATTTTCCCCATTCTGACATTTCAGTAGCTGCCTGGGGGTTGGGGGAGGAGGGGAGCAGAAGAAAAGAAAAACTGTGTTTGCTCAGCGAGTCCACAACCTGTAGACAACGAATTCCTGTCACATGCTGGCTGTAGTCCTCTTTGCAGTCTCTGCTTCCCTCAGCACCCAGTTTGATGGTGATAGAATAAAATCATTTTCTGTAGGTGATGTAAACCTGTTGGTTTAAATTACTTGTCACCAGTTCCCTAGCCAAAAAAATTTAATTCTATGATCATAATATTATTGAAGCTTGTGCCCTAGAGTCTAAGAATCAAGCATTGCTCTCGGCGTTGTCCTTCAAAACAAAAAAAACAAACAGGTTTGCAAAGTCTCAGCTAGGGTTTTCTAGAAAAATAATGAATGCTGTTGCTGCAGCATGACACAGGGGAGACTGGGACGATAGTGAACTCAGGTACCCGCTAATCCTTGCTTGTTGGGCAACATGTACACCTGGGTTTCTGGCAGCTCTTTGGACTCACTAGAGACGTCTCCTGTTCTGTTCGCCCTCTTTCAGGCAATGGTTGAGACAGTTAACAACCTCCTTCAGCCACAAGCTCTGAACGCTTGGAGAGACCTGACTACAAGCGATCAACTACGTGCTGCCACCATGTTGCTTGACACTGTGGAGGAGAGTGCTTTCGTGCTGGCTGATAACCTTTTGAAGACTGACATTGTCAGAGAGAACACAGACAATATTCGTAAGTGACCTTTGTCAAACAGAAGGTCTTAGGGTCTCTTGTTTAGTAGGAGAATGAAATTTTTTAAAAAAGAATATCTGTTACACCAGCCTTGAGTGATGACTTATTTCAGTGGATATATGTTATTCTCTTTTTTCAGATTAGGAGGGTAACTTTTCAGCTTAGTAAGATCAAAATTCATGCTTGTTAATCGCCTTACAGCATTCCTATATTGAGCATATTAGCCTGTGATCACTTCAATGAGGTTTGGCTTTTTTTTTTGTAGAATTTTTGTGAGGATATGTATTTGTGTAAGTTTTATACTGCTTCCTGTTTTTGTGTCCTTATATAAGACATACTAGTCATTTTAGTATTGCTTTAATAATGTACTATAAGAAATAAGTTGGTGAATGATGATGGTAAAGCAGTGTTTGCTAATTGTCTCATATGAGTATAAATCTGTTTTTATTGTGGTTTAGGATGTAGCTGACAGTTTTATTTCAGGAATTTTGATAAAGCTGTTTCAAATTTATTAGTCTGAAAGATAGATCAATATTGACATGACAGTACATTTCCCACAAAAAATTTAATTAATGAAACATGAATAATTTGAAAATTAACTTAAAGCCAAAGACGAAATATTGAATTTTAAGTTGCAGACTTTGATATTGGTAGAAATGAAGGCCTTTGCTTACTTTATTTTGCTGCAGAATTGAAATATTAACCATATACTTTCTTAAAAGTTGAACTAATGTAACATGACAAATGGACCAAGAACTCCAAAGTTCTGATTTTAGAAATATTTCAGTGGTTAATGAAATTACTGTAGCTCTGGCTAATTTCTCCAGGAACACTGAACAATGTCTGTTATTAACAGAATTAGAAGTTGCAAGGCTGAGCACTGAAGGAAACCTAGAAGATCTAAAATTTCCAGAAAACATGGGCCATGGGAGTACTATCCAGCTTTCTGCAAACACATTAAAGCAAAATGGCCGGAATGGTAAGCTAGAGTTTGTTTCTAGGCTTGGTGTTGTTGAACTTTATCAACTCAGTAGTTCGTGGCTTGAAATTTTGGATCTACTGTCTTAGAGTTCTTTGTCTTCCTCTCCCTGTTCCATCCTCCTTTTCTTCCTCTTCTGCCTCCTCTCAGCTACTATACCATCAATATAACAATGATTTGTATTCTTCAAAATTCTGTTAGATTTGGAAATTGTTCATTATTTCTTTTTTAATATTTCATTTATCATTTTTATTTTATGTGTATGAGCATATTGCCTGCATGTGCGTAAGTACACCTGTGTTGTACAGTGCCTGTGGAGGTCAGAAGAAGGCATCGGATTCTCCTGGAACTAGAGTTCAGGACCGTTGTTAGCTACCATGTGGGTGTTGGGAATCAAACCCACATCTTCTATGAGAGAAGACAGTGTTCTTAACTGCTGAGCTATCTCTGTGCCTCTATTACTTCTCAGGTGTCAGAACCTTAAACACAAAGGAAACTATGAACACCAAAATGCAGATGTTCTGCTGTTTTTTTCCCCCAAAGGAGTCACTCTCTTTGAGTTTGATGGTTTATCTGGTGAAAATTTTAGTGGGACTTTAGTTTTTCAAGCTGCATGTTTTTGTGGTTTTCTCTGTGTAACACCTTTTAAACAATGTGTCTATTTTTCCTTTGCAAAGCATA